AGCTCTATCAGTTCTAAACTGTTCTTTCTAGAGGTCCAGTAAGGTTCATCTCTTATTTAGCCATGTTACTACAGGAGGAAACCTAAACTAAACTAACTTTATTTATACTGAATAGCTCTATCAGTTCTACACTGTTTTTCCTAGAGGTCTAGTAAGGATCATCTCTTCTTGATTCAGTGTTACTACAGGATGAAACCTAAACTAAACTAACTTTATTTATACTTTATGCTCTATCAGTTCTAAACTGTTCTTCCTAGAGGTCCACTCTTATTGATCCAGTGTTACTACAGGAGGAAACCTAAACTAAACAACTTTATTTATTCTGGATAGCTCTATTAGTTCGAAACTGTTCTTCCTAGAGGTCCAGTAAGGATCATCTCTTATTGACCCAGTGTTACTACAGGAGAAAACCTAAACTAAACTAACTTTATTCATACTGGATAGCTCTACCAGTTCTAAACTGTTCTTCCTAGAGGTCCAGTAAGGATCATCTCTTATTGACCCAGTGTTACTACAGGAGGAAACCTAAGCTAAACCAACTTTATTTATACTGGATAGCTCTGTCAGTTCTAAACTGTTCTTTCTAGAGGTCCGGTAAGAGTCATCTCTTATTGATCCAGTGTTATTACAGGAGGAAACCTAAACTGAACTTACTTTATTTATACTGGATAGCTCAGTTCTAAACTGTTCTCTCTAGAGGTCTAGTAAGAGTCATCTCTTACTAATCCAGTGTTACTACAGGAGGAAACTTAAACTAAACTAACTTTATTTATACTGGATATAGCTTAGTTCTAAACTGTTCTCCGTAGAGGTCCAGTAAGAATCATCTCTTATTGATCCAGTGTTACTACAGGAGGAAACCTAAACTAAACTAACTTTATTTATACTGGATAGCTCTATCAGTTCTAAACTGTTCTTCCTAGAGGTCCAGTAAGGATCATCTCTTATTAATCCAGTGTTACTACAGGAGGAAACCTAACTAAACTAACTTTATTTATACTGGATAGCTCTATCAGTTCTAAACTGTTCTTCCTAGAGGTCCAGTAAGGATCATCTCTTATTGATCCAGTGTTACTACAGGAGGAAACCTAAACTAAACTAACTTTATTTATACTGGATAGTTCTATCAGTTCTAAACTGTTCTTCCTAGAGGTCCAGTAAGGATCATCTCTTATTGATCCAGTGTTACTACAGGAGGAAACCTAAACTAAACTAACTTTATTTATACTGGATAGCTCCATCAGTTCTAAACTGTTCTTCCTAGAGGTCCAGTGAGGATCATCTCTTATTGATCCAGTGTTACTACAGGAGGAAACCTAAACTAAACTAACTTTATTTATACTGGATAGCTGGTGAAGTACCATCTCGCTCTGACAGTCATGTTCGTTGTTTAACAACTACTGTTTTTGCATTCAGACGGAAAGGTGTGTTTGGTCCTCCTTTGGGAAAAAAATTTCTGATATTCATCGACGATCTGAACATGCCAGCCCTGGAGACGTACGGTGCTCAGCCACCTAACGAGTTGTTGCGACAGTATTGCGACCATAATGGGTGGTACGACAGAAAACAAATAGGTATAGAATGCGACATTCATGACATCACTCTCAGCTACTATAGGACAGTTAGCTTGTTGGACTGTTATAGTTATTGTTAAAGTAATCTCAATATTTCAATCTCATTTTGACACTAAAATAGCAGACATGAAGTGTTTCTTTAGCAATGCGAATAAGTCAAATGTTAAAATCCTTTACCGGCTGATAGTTTCAGCAAATTTATAACTAATGTTAGGGAGCAGTCATTACTTACGGCGGGTGGTGTCAATGTTTTTCTTGGTAAAAATTTTCCTGATCCAACCATTAAAGAGTCAAAAGAATTTTTACCCAACCTCAAATATCAATTAAAAAATAAATACCCACCCCTGGCCAAAAACTTTACAAAAGGATACCATTCAGTTGTCACACATGTCCTTTACCACTTCTGTGACATGAGTTTGATAACTGCTTGTGCAATTTTCTGCAGTCTAAAGTTTCATGTTGTCTGCACATGTACTTTCTTTGGAGACACCATTTGCCTCCTGACAAATCGAAAAATGATCAAGATAGTGACTCTGATTGATGTACATATTGTATTGACATATGACTGTTGACATTGCTTTGTAGTCTTCAATAATTGAGCGAGTCATGCTTTGGAAATGACAATAAATTTTTATTACCCAACCCTTGAGTTGTTTTGTGTTTCATTTACCCAACCTTTTACTCACTCAAAATTTTGTTTACCCAACCCTTTTCTCTTCGAGCTAACCCCACCATAAATAATGACCGCTTCCTTGGCTTGTTGGACTGTTTAAACCGGATACAAAAGAGCAAGTTTTCTGTGACAAGTATCCTGGGACTAATTTTATTTTCTCGTTTATGCGGGCAACTTTGTCAATTTTTACTATGACAAGTACACTAAGCTTACACTAGCTTGTTGGCAAAGTACAAATCTTGTGTTTGTTTGTAATCCACAAAGGAAACTTTCCATATGAAAAGTTCTCATAGAAACAAGTCTCGAAATAGCGGGCTGCCAATGGCCAAAAGCAGGCCATATTTTAGAAATGGCAGACAAAAACAAATTTGAACTGCCAAAGTAAAAAAAATGGCAGGTGAAATTCTATAGATATATTTCGTTTCATTTGCTTACAAAAACTCATATATACTAGATCATTTAGTTGACTTTATACGTTTATATTTGGAATGTAAATCCAAGTTTACTGTATAGTAAAATAAACAAGTTTAAAATAATAAAAATGCATGTCATGAAAACATTGATTTTTACAAATATGACTCATACGAGACATCGCCATTGTGGCAGTTCAATGAATAAAAATGGCAGGCTAAAATTTATTTCACCTGGCAAAAAAGTTTAGACTGAGAGGCCATATTTTTTCTCTACTTCGAGCCCTGTTTCGCCTTCAGATTTGGTAGACTGGAGAATCTACGACTCGCTATGACTAATCTGTAACCGGCTTTAGCTTGTTACAGTATTTGATTCGTATTTATAATATATTCCACTCTTTACAGGGGCATTTCGCGAACTGGTCGACATCAATCTACTGGGGGCGATGGGACCTCCGGGCGGGGGTCGTAACCCCGTCACCCCCCGACTATTACGTCATTTCAATTTCCTCACTTTTACCGAAATGGAAGATTCAAGCAAGTTCACCATTTTCTCAACTATTTTGAAGGGATGGCTTGGTGAGTACTTAAACTAACTTTATTTATACTGGATAGCTCTATCAGTTATAAACTGTTTTTCCTAGAGGTCTAGTAAGGATCATCTCTTATTGATCCAGTGTTACTACACGAGGAAACCTAAACCAAACTAACTTTATTTATACTGGATAGCTCTATCAGTTCTAAACTGGTCTTCCTAGAGGTCCAGTAAGAGTCATCTCTTATTGATCCAGTGTTACTACAGGAAGAAACCTAAACTAAAGTAACTTTATTTATACTGGATAGCTCTATCAGTTCTAAACTGTTCTTCCCAGAGGTCCAGTAAGAGTCATCTCTTATTGATCCAGTGTTACTACAGGAGGAAACCTAAACCAAACTAACTTTATTTATACTGGATAGCTCTATCAGTTCTAAACTGTTCTCCCTAGAGGTCCAGTAAGGATCATCTCTTATTGATCCAGTGTTACTACAGGAGGAAACCTAAACTAAACTAACTTTATTTATACTGGATAGCTCTATCAGTTCTAAACTGTTCTCCCTAGAGGTTCAGTAAGGATCATCTCGTATTGATCCAGTGTTACTACAGGAGGAAACCTAAACTAAACTAACTTTATTTATACTGGGTAGCTCTATCAGTTCTAAACTGTTCTTCCTAGAGGTTCAGTAAGAATCATCTCGTATTGATCCAGTGTTACTACAGGAGGAAACCTAAACTAAACTAACTTTATTTATACTGGGTAGCTCTATCAGTTCTAAACTGTTCTTCCTATCAGTGTTACTGCAGGACGAAACAGGAGTAACCAGAGCTAAACTGGATGCAATTGGAAGCACTCTTCTCGCGTGTGACGGACACGAAATTGCAAGAATTCGTTACGTCAAAGGATACGAAAGACACGTTTACTGCATCTTACAACACACGCTAACTTGTCTTGTGGCGCCCTCTTCGTGTTGACCTCCACAATGTCTGGAAAATTAACACAAAACAATGTACCATTTGTGCATGAGCATTTAAACAATTTCTGGAAAAACCCTTGCTTGGGAGAATCAAAGTGAAACTGCTCTTCTCGCATGCAATTGAAGTGAAATCAGAGAACTGCATATTCAGTGCGTGAAGCGAACCTCGAGCCCCGGCCAAACAAGAATGAGAGTTGATGGGAGTTACAACCGTCGCTCGCGTTTAAGCGCCAACTCTGAACAACTCTCATGCATGCACTCTCATTAACTCTGAGCTGGTTCAAATTTTGATGAGAGTTGATGAAAGTTCTTGCTACGTGCGCGGTAACTCTTGTTCTCGTTTGACCAGGGCGTCAGAGTTGAGAAAACTCTCATGCAAACTCTCACTTCTCAACCCTCATGCAACTCTCATGTAACTCTTGTTCTCAACTCTCATTTCTCAACTCTCATTTCTCAACTCTCATCAACTCTCATGCAACTCTTGTTCTCGTTGACCAGGGCATGAGAGTTGAGAAAACTCCCATGCAAACTCTCGTTTCTCAACTCTCACCCCGCTTGACACTGACCAGTTAAAAAATATACTACCCGTGCAGATTTTAATCTGATTACCATTTTGTGCATCTTCTAAGAACTCCTGGACCTTCCTATTTTCCAATTCAATCGCGGCATCCAGGTGTTGCCTGGTAACCCACTTGAGCTGACGAATCTTCTTTTGTAATTCCAGATCCTTTAGTTCATCGTCAGTCGATGGCGGACAGAAAACTCTGCGTAAATATGACATTTTATATTTATGGAAAAATGTAATCTCGAATGATCTGAGCCATTGCAGGAAGCAACACCATGCCATGATTCATCATCAAAATGCTAACGCCATGGGCCTAGCCAGTGCACTTATGAGAGGCATTACCCCCCTGGACGTCAGCCATTTTTAATATTTTCAGGGAGGTGAATGCCTCTCAAATGCGCACTGGTTAGGCCCATGGCATCAGCATTTTGATGACGAATTACGGTTATGCCAAAATCATAGGAGAACCCAAGGAGTCAGGCTTCTGTGTAGTCTATTCTGTTGTTTGAGAGCGACAATACTTACATTTTATATATCTTTGTCATGACATATTTTTCCACTCCATCTAACGCAGTCTGTAGCTGAGCCGAGGTGGTACCTCGAAATACACTGTGACTTTCCAGACGTTCTTCCATATGCTGAAGAAAAGCAGTTTATTAGATTACTGGTTTCGTACATACTCTGATGCTCATTGTTTTGAAGTAAACATTACAAAATTGACCATTTATTTTCTAATCATAACCATACTCACAATATAAAATTTTTGAAGAAATTCACTTTGACGTTCAACAGACCAAGATGAATTGCTCACTATTTGTTCTGTAACACTAAATTTAGAAAATTATACCATACTGTAAACCATTTCTATGGTTAAACTCATCACCCTCGATGCGCTTTCAATGGTTTGTATAAGGACATCCTGATGTATCTTTCTCAATTAATGTTTTAAAAGCTATTTTCACTTGTGCAGGACTTTATTATTAACTCTAAGCACTTTTGTTAACATCTATAAGTGTACACATATAATATTATGTGTGATCTTAGTGGTGCTATGTTAATCTCATTCCACATCATTTGGAAGTGTTTCTGTCATTCATTTCTTTGTCCTACTTAATACGTCTGTCCTATGTATGTTAGTCCGTATGTAACCTGAAGTTCAGGCCCTATCACAGAATAGGGCCTGACACAAAACCTATCTAAAGTGTGGGATTGAAATCTGATTGGTTGATCAGCGTCATGAAGGATTTTGATTGGTTGCAAGTTCACATAAACAACAGTTTTAAAAATAGCTCGGTCAAGGCGAGAATTAATATAAAGGTCAAACGCACGTAACAAATTCCATTATCGATTTCTTCGAATTTCTTTTCTTTTATGCTTTATGGAAGAAAATAAATCAAACAAACAGTATTTTGAAAGGGCTTCATCAAAATCTTTGACGAATTTTGGACACACACGTCAAACGACGCTGAAAGAACAGCCAAACTAGTCCTGTATTCGAAAGCTTGTTGTTGACAGCCAAGATGTTCTGCCAACTTGCTTCGCCGGCAAAAGTCTTATTTTTAATATCAGGTCCTACCGGCGTTGTTTTCTGAGCTGCATCGCCTTCTTCGTGGTATGATTGAGAATTTAATTGTTGCTGTTATTAGCCCGTTAGTCGTTAGAGTATATCCGCGTCCAGCAAGTTGAGACCTTGAAAAAGCTTGGCAGTCAAGCCGTGCATAGAACTGACCAATTAAGTCTTTGTTTGCTGTTCGCCTGTTCGGTCAAATAGAGAAACTGACTCTTAATTATATAAAAGTACCTTGAATTTTTAAGTTTAATTAAAAAGCAAAATGCTCTGCGGACATGTTCATGAGAATATAATTTTTTTGTGTAACGGAAATCTACAACACTTGTCAATCATATTGCATGTGTGTCTAAAAATAACATGTGGGCGTCTCACGGTCTAGACAGGTTTTGTGTCAGGCCCTATTTCAAATTAGGGCCTGAACTTCAGGTTAGTCCGTATGTGATGTCAATTTTTATTAATTTTGTAACTTATTTATTTTTAATAGGTTTTGTTTGTGGAAACACCACGTAAATTTATTACTGCAAAGATACAAAGAACTTATTTATTTTTGTATGACAAGATTTCCCTAGATAAGCCTGAGGCTTTTGGAAAAATTGTCCTTTTTATATAAATCAAATATCATTTAAATCAAACTATGTATTCTTATTCATCAATCATACTAAACCCTAGCATGGGCTAGTATTCCAAAGGTCATAGGTTCGATTCCCACCGTGGCCGGGCATATTTTTCAAGTTCGCCCGGTGTGGATATATACTCAGAGTAACATCACAAATATCATATTCACCTGAGTACACAACACCAACACAGAAAAAATCATATTACTAGATTACATTGATATCGAAGGAACTAGGTTCTGTTTACGAAAGATCACTTACTCGAACCGTCCTGACCGCGTAGCTCAGTTGGCAGAGCATTGGGTTAGTATTCCAAAGGTCGTAGGTTCAATTCCCACCGTGGCCGCGCATATTTTTCAAGCTCGCCCGGTGTGGATATACACACATCACAAATATCATACTAAACCCATTGAGAGACAGCACTCTCCCCCTGATGAGTAAAATTGTCTGCTGTTGGACAGAGTAAAATAATAAATTAGGGTGTGCATCAGGGCACATTGCACTTAAAGGGTTAGTTTTACTTTCTAATGCTCACTTACTATTTACATTTTCCAACAATATCTTGCGCTGCAGGTTTACGTAGAGTTTTAAGAAACATGTTGAAATCTGAAGCACTTTGATTCACATCTGACGACGTTCCTATAATGAAGACATCGACATTAGTCAGAGGTGATGAGCTCTGCTTATAAAACAACAAACAGTTTATTCATAAGAGTTCATTACCATCAATATCACTTCTCCTCATGGATTGTATTGACGCAGATTCTAAAGGCACTTCTATTGGTAGGCCTCCTTTCGTCTTTGTGAACAACTTTCTCACACTTTGTCTGAGAGAACACACAGTTCAATTGTATCAAATGAATACAATTTAGCTCAGTATAAATACCGAACACTTTTCACTTCATAAGGATTAAGGACTGACTTACTTTTTTGAAGTACTTTGTACTTTCTTTTTCTCCTCAAACTTAGAAAACGGCAATGTTGTTTCTTCATTGGGCGATGCTTGGTCTAAAATTTAATAATAATGGATTAATCTTGCAACTATTGATTGATTCAAATTCGTTCTGGGGGTGAGGGGTACGACAGGCGCTGGGGGTAACAAAAGGATGGTAGGTGGGGCATGTGCAACCTCCTAGGTGGGGACACATAGAGCAGGTCCCACCCTACCGCAGGAGTGACTACCTCTTTTTCGGGATTGTAAGTGACCTTTTCCAATGACAAGCAAAACCCATATTCTTATAATTTTCAGATTTAGGTAAAAAATTCCTCAGAAGCAGGAAATGGTGTTGCAGAGACCTTAGAAATTCAAATTTTCTCAGGGGAGTTTGCCCCGGGCCCCCTTCTTCAATGCTTGCTAATTCTCATACTGTACCGTCAAGCATATTTTTAACCCTCCAAAAACAACCCCAGGTATCCCACACTTTTGAAATGGCTTTTCAACAAACTCACCTGTCCCAAAACTTGACTTTGCTACATGTGAGCTACTTTTTTCACTTGACATGTGCGCTGCTTCATTGGCAAGAAACGCTTTGTAACATAACGAGCAATAACCGTGCCATGCCGGGTTGCCATAGAAACCACAACTGAAAGAACACCGTAATTATAGACATTTTCCAGGGGTGTCAGGCAATGAAACCATAGTAATTCCTAGGAAATTCCGGGGGAAAGGGAAATAAACTGTATTCCAGGGGGGGTTCACAATTTAACTGGTATAAAGATTTCCTCAACCCCCTATGTGGACAATAAATGCAATCTACCAATGTGACTGGGTCATATTCGGTGTGTCTGAGATTCTATGTGGTGCATGCTTGTATATTTTTTAATGAAATAACAAAACTTTCACACATTTGTGATGTTACACTTATACCATATATAAATAATAAATATAAACAAAAAAAGTTGGATGCAATTTCAAATATTAATTCCCATGGCCTAATATAACATAACTATGCAATAGTTTCGCTTTGAATTTTTTATATTTTCTGTGAGCAAATGAAAAATACTCGACATATTTTATTTATACAAAAAATAACGTTGGCTACTGTAAGATTAAAATACTTTCTAAATCAATTACAGATACAAGAGAGTTGTAGTATAAAGATTAACAACAATAGACAAAAACAAACTCGTGAATACAAAGTAATTGTGTCATGATAAATCTACTCTTGTAAAGACATGACAAGGATCTACTGGGCAGTCTGGACTTACTTATTACGGCATTTCAGCTGTGGTTGTCTTTCGCTTAGTTTGGATTTCATTCCTCTTTGTGCCGTAGCCATGCTAGAATTTACACCTTTTAGCACCTGTACTTGACTAATCCTTACGAGGCCAAAACGAGAAGAAATATTATAAATACACTGTCATCCTATATTACAGTAAAACATCACGAGAATTTCACGAGACCACAAACAATCACAATAGCACAAATACACGAGCGGAATCTGGGAACCAAAGTAGATCAGGAGGGGACGAAATAAAAAATTAGAGAGGGGGCACCGGAGAAAAATACGTCTCACACTAGGGTCTTTTAGCCCGCGTGCAGGGTTTCAGAAGGGGGGGCAAAGGTGGCAATTTGCCTCGGGCCCCCAGTTAAAGGGGGGGGGGGGGCAAAAATTGCAAAATTAAAAAAAAATAATTTGGAATGTGTTTTGATCTATTATCAGGTAAAATACTGGTCAACGTCGTATCGTTCCCAATAATGGTATGAGAAAAAAATCTCTAGACCAAAATTGTACAGACATTGGTCAGGAAAAAAAGTTTTACCCATGTTTTATAAAAAAATTTTGACCCTTTTTTTAATGTCCGGAAGAAATTTTTCTACTCGAGCCACACCGAAATAAACATTTGCCCCGAAATATAAATAAAAAAATAGGGGCCCCCAAAAAATAAAAATAGGGGCCCCGAAATAAAAATTTGTCCCGGGCCCCGAATTTCTCTGATAGGCCCTGCGTACTTTACAGTAAAATTTCCCTGCGTGACTCCTGAGTCAAAACTTTCTCCGTCACCGTATGTGTTTTGAACCTTTCTAAGTCCGGTATAAAAGGGACGAAAAAATGTTATGTGATCAGCCCGAAATTTTCTAAGTCAGACTTTCGTCAAAAAAACAAGCTAAGCTTTAGTGAGGGTTCTGAAGGACGGGTCCCAATCCCATTTCCCCCCTGAAATTTTGGCAAAATCCCAGTCCCAGTTGGATTTTTATTAGAAATCCCAGTCCCAGTTATTGAAATCCCAGTCAATAAAAAACCCTTTATTTATCGGTAGAATAAACAGTTTTAAGACCTTTTAAGCAAGTGGCGGACACTTTATGAAATATTACGGAGGGCTCGTGCCGAAGGAACGGAAAATTTTTAAATTTGAATCCCGGAAATGGCATTTGCAACATTCTGAGACACGCATTAATCAGAAAACCCAGAATTCCGGGCGCCAGAGTATGCCTGTTCGCAGGTAGTGCTGTGAATAATTGGATGGTTATGCCGTTTACTCGGTTCGGCATAGCCGCTCAACTCAGATGTTTATAGCGTTGAATATGTTCCGCAAAAACATTTGGCTAAAGCAACTAGGAATATACCGTTTGCTTCCAACCTGAGGAAATATTTTTAGAGAAAAAAAAAGAAAAAGTAATTTCCCAATATTTCTTGGTGTGAAAATATAAAAAATTGTTCGGCGAGAATCCATCCATTACGCATTTGACGTCTGTGGTTTCTACCACTGTACCACGTGTTCACGAACATATTGCATTGATCTGAACTAGTGATCTCAATCAATAAATATTCAACTTAGATGTTTATGCCGTTGTATATGTTCGGCATAAACATTCAACATAGATGTTTATGCCGTTGTATATGCTCGGCATAAACATTCAATTTAGATGTTTATGCCGCTGTATATGTTCGGCATAAACATTCAACTTAGATGTTTATGCCGTTGTATATGTTCTGCATAAACATTCAATTTAGATGTTTATGCCGTTGTATATGTTCGGCATAAACATTCAACTTAGATGTTTATGCCGTTGTATATGTTCGGCATAAACATCCAATTTAGATGTTTATGCCGTTGTATATGTTCGGCATAAACATTCAACTTAGATGTTTATGCCGTTGTATATGTTCGGCATAAACATTCAATTTAGATGTTTATGCCGTTGTATATGTTCGGCATAAACATTTAATTTAGATGTTTATGCCGTTGTATATGTTCGGCATAAACATTCAACTTAGATGTTTATGCCGTTGTATATGTTCGGTATAAACATTCAATTTAGATGTTTATGCCGTTGTATATGTCTGGCATAAACATTCAATTTAGATGTTTATGCCGTTGTATTTGTTCGGCATAAACATTCAACTTAGATGGTTATGCAGTTGTATATGTTCGGCATAAACATTCAACTTAGATGTTTATGCCGTTGTATATGTTCGGCATAAACATTCAACTTAGATGTTTATGCCGTTGTATATGTTCGGCATAAACATTCAATTAAGATGGTTATGTCGTTGCACATGTTCGGCATAGCAATTCAATTTGGATGGTTATGCCATTGCCTGTCTTCGGCATACCCATTCAACTAGGATGGTTATGCCGTTGTTTGTCTTCGGCATAACCATTCAACTTGGATGGTTATGCCGTTGACTGTCTTCGGGATCACCATTCAACTTGGATGGTTATGGCATTGCCTGTCTTCGGCATAACCATTCAACTTGGATGGTTATGCCGTTGACTGCCTTCGGCATAACCATTCAACTTGGATGGTTATGCCGTTGATTCGGTCCGGCATAGCCGTTCAACTCAGATGTTTATGGCGTTGAATATGTTCCGCAAAAACATTTGGCTAAAGTAAGTAGGAATATACCGTTTGCTCTCAACCTGAGGAAATATTTTAATAATTTTAATAGAAAAAAAAAGAATTAGTAATTTCTGAATATTTCATGGCGCGAAAATATAAAAAATTGTTCGGCGAAAATCGATCCATTACGCATTTGACGTCTGTGTTTTCTACCACTGTACCACGTGTTCACGAACATACTGCATTGATGTGAACTAGTGATCGCAATCAATAAATATTCAACTTGGATGTTTATGCCGTTGTATATGTTCGGCATAAACATTCAACTTAGATGTTTATGCCGTTGTATATGTTCGGCATAAACATTCAATTTACATGTTTATGCCGTTGTATATATGTTCGGCATAAACATTCAACTTAGATGTTTATGCCGTTGTATATGTTCGGCATAAACATTCAATTTACATGTTTATGCCGTTGTATATGTTCGGCATAAAAATTCATCTTAGATGTTTATGCCGTTGTATATGTTCGGCATAAACATTCAACTTAGATGTTTATGCCGTTGTATATGTTCGGCATAAACATTCAATTTGGATGTTTATGCCGTTGTATATGTTCGGCATAAACATTCAACTTAGATGTTTATGCCGTTGTATACGTTCGGCATAAACATTCAATTAAGATGGTTATGTCGTTGCATATGTTCGGCATAGCCATTCAATTTGGATGGTTATGCCATTGCCTGTCTTCGGCATACCCATTCAACTAGGATGGCTATGCCGTTGGTTGGTTTCGGGATAACCATTCAACTTGGATGGTTAGGGCTTTGCCTGTCTTCGGCATAACTATTCAACTTGGATGGTTATGCTGTTGACTGTCTTCGGCATAACCATTCAACTTGGATGGTTATGCCGTTGAATCGGTTCGGCATAGGCGTTCAACTCAGATGTTTATGGCGTTGAATATGTTCCGCATAAACATTTGGCTAAGGTAAGTAGGAATATACCGTTTGCTTTCAACCTGAGGAAATATTTTTGGAGAAAAAAAAAGAATTAGTAATTTCCGAATATTTCTTGGTGCGAAAATATAAAAAATTGTTCGGCGAGAATCGATCCATTACGCATTTGACGTCTGTGGTTTCTACCATTGTACCACGCGTTCACGAACATACTGCATTGATCTGAACTAGTGATCTCAATCAATAAATATTCAACTTGGATGTTTATGCCGTTGTATATGTTCGGCATAAACATTCAACTTAGATGTTTATGCCGTTGTATATGTTCGGCATAAACATTCAATTTAGATGTTTATGCCGTTGTATATGTTCGGCATAAACATTCAACTTAGATGTTTATGTCGTTCTATATGTTCGGCATAAACATTCAATTTAGGTGGTTATGCCGTTGTATATGTTCTGCATAACCATTCGATTTGGATGGTTATGTCAATGGCTGTCTTCGGCATAACCATTCAACTTGGATGGTTATGCCGTTGACTGTCTTCGGCATAACCATTCAACTTGGATGTTTATGCCGTTGAATGCCTTCGGCATAACCATTCAACGTGGATGGTTATGCCGTTGACTGCCTTCGGCATAACCATTCAACTTGGATGGTTATCTCGTTGACTGCCTTCGGCATAACCATTCGATTTGGATGGTTATGCCGTTGACTGTCTTCGACATAACCATTCAACTTGGATGGTGATGCCGTTGACTGCTTTGGCATAACCATTCAACTTGGATGGTTATGCCGTTGACTGCCTTCGGCATAACCATTCAACTTGGATGGTTATGCCGTTGACTGCCTTCGGCATAACCATTCAACTTTGATGATTATGCCGTTGACTCGCTTCGGCATAGCCGTTCAACTCAGATGTTTATAGCGTTGAATTGAATATGTTCCGCATAAACATTGGGCTAAAGTAAGTAGGAATATACCGTTTGCTTTCAAACTGAGGAAATAATTTTGGAGAGAAAAAAAGAATTAGTAATTTCCGAATATTTCTTGGTGCGAAAATATAAAAAATTGTTCGACGAGAATCGATCCATTACGCATTTGATGTCTGTGGTTTCTACCACTGTACCACGTGTTCACGAACATACAGCATTGATCTGAACTAGTGATCTGAATCAATAAATACTCAAGTTGGAGGTTTATGCCGTTGTATATGTTCGGCCAAAACATTCAACTTAGATGTTTTTGCCGTTGTATATGTTCGGCATAAACATTCAATTTAGATGTTTATGCCGTTGTATATGTTCGGCATAAACATTCAATTTACATGTTTATGCCGTTGTATATGTTCGGCATAAACATTCAATTTAGATGTTTATGCCGTTCTATATGTTCGGCATAAACATTCAACTTAGATGTTTATGCCGTTGTATATGTTCGGCATAACCATTCGATTTGGATGGTTATGCCAATGGCTGTCTTCGACATAACCATTCAACTTGGATGGTTATGCCGTTGACTGTCTTCGGCATAACCATTCAACTTGGATGGTTATGCCGTTGACTGCCTTCGGCATAACCATTCAACTTGGATGGTTATGCCGTTGACTGTCTTTGGCATAACCATTCAACTTGGATGGTTATGCCGTTGAATGTCTTCGGCATAACCGTTCAACTTGGATGGTTATGCCGTTGACTGCCTTTGGCATAACCATTCA